ATATATATATATATATATATATATATATATATATATATATATAGCCGTATATTAATTATGACGTTGATTCGTTGGCGACCGCGCCGTGTTGTATCACAATAACTTGCTGCAATTGACAACGTTTGCTTTTTCCTCGTTAACCCGGAGAACAAAAATTGAGTAGACTCGCTTTTCTCATACACACACCCACACAGTTATGTAACACTGTGGGTGAGACCAAATGTGTTTCCAACAAACAGAAGCAGGTTCCTGCGCTTCTGTTTGTTAGAGGATATATGACGCATATATATATATTCGACATGCACGGACTGCGCTTGTATATGTTCGATAGCAACACACCTGTACATCATGTTCGGTGTGGTCGCTGAAAGCAACGTGGTTAACGATATACGATCAAGAGCGTATAAAGAAGGATCCTTCTATATACGCTCTTGATACGATACTACTGCATCATTAGACAGAGCCGCGTGGGCGCCGAAAATTAACCGCGCGCATAGATTTCCCGGTATACTATAATTACGGTCAGAGGTTACATATTTCGATATTTGCGAAATGTCGGCCTAGCGTAGACCACGGAACATTTATCTGTGTGTATGTGTATCTGTGTGTGTGCGTGTGTGTGCGCGCGTGTGTGTGCATGTATATGTGCGTGTGTGAGTGTGTGTGCGCGCGTGTGTGTGTTCGCGCGCGCGTGTGGGTTGAAGTGTGCGTACGAACATGTGTAAATAACGTCTGTAAGTTCTAGACGTTTTTGACAGACATATAGCGTTTCTAACCAATATTCATTACATCAGTGAATGACATCGATTGCATAAATTCTTAATAGACATGCACTGAACTCCACTGATTGATATATATATATATATATATATATATATATATATATATATATATAACCGAGCGACCGACCTAGCGACCGACCGACCGACGGCACAACTGATAACGCCACACCAGTGCTATCTATAATGTGTAATATACACCTTGGTGGTGGGTTTACTTAGCCCACAAAAGAATCGCATCATTGCTTTATACGAAATCTAATCACTATTGATAGATGAAAGCTATACGTTGCTATAAAGCCGTAAATAAAAAACACACAGCCGCACAACCGTTTTTGTGTAAAACTCTAACACATGTAGTTCGATCGGTGGTGTACGTATAGGTACAGTGCACTCTACGGAAACTCGATGCCCCATTGTTTGTCCAATTCTCATTGAGTGATCAGTTTACGGGTGATTAAGTGATCAGTGAGGAGATTAGAGGCACAGATAAAGGGGGAATGTCACGGGACAGGCTCGTCGAAAATTGTCTCCGTTTTAATCAGGGATGATTGTCAAGGCGCCTGTTCGGATAATTAAATGAAACAATGGCGTTTACAATGAGTCATCATCGTTATCTGTGAACCACGTAACCAAGCTGTTACAACTTACCTGTGATGCATAAATTCGCAACTAGCTATACTCATAGTGTTGACTTTCTTTATCTATCTTCGCAGACATTTGTTTCTACTACAATGCATCTTGTTGCTGTATCTGACGTCGTTACAAGAATCGCAATGCAGCGATGTAATCACCTCGTCGGCAAGCGGAACTGGAAGCGCCGCCATTGACGCCATTTGGGATGAGATGATGGCCCGAATGGAGAGCGTGTTGGCCTTTTACAGAGATACGGGTCAGATGAGCGAGAATCTCCCTAGCAACAATGATATCCAAATTAATGGTAAAAGTCGTTTGTTTCAATTATATATGAGTTCAGCGTTAGTTATGCGCCTAGTTAGTAAAGAAATGCATTAGAAGATTTTGGTTTTAACAAATGAATGAAACAAAATAATAAAGAATATGCAAAAACTTTGCGAAAGGCGGTGTGTATTAGCTTCACAATGAACGTGTCCGCAGTGAACGTGTTACTACGGGAATTCAATGCGCCTAGTAAAGGAATTCGCATTATGACGAACAAAGTGAGCACGAATCTTTCATGAGCGCACGTAAGATTGCACACGTACACACGCACAAACACACTCACAGACACACACGCGCGCGCGCGCACGCACTTGTGTGTGTGTGTGTGTGTGTGTGTGTGTGTGTGTGTGTATGTGTGTGTGTGTGCGTGTGAGTGTGCGTGCATATATATAATGTAATGTAATCAGGAGTGTATCAGATAGATAGATATTATAGTCTATATATATAGTCTAGATGATGAAGCAGATGTGTAGAAGGACATATTATATAGCGTCATATCTTACCTGTGTGCTAAGAATACGCCTCGCCCTTCTCCTTCGTCGCAAACCTCTTAAGACAAAGAAGGCTAAACCAAAGAAAGCACTCCCAGCCAGCACACCAGCTATTGGTTCAACTAGCCGTACCGAATAGAATCTATCTGCCAACTAAAGAAACATTAGTTTAGTAAATTAGAATTTATCGGTAAATGTGTATACGAGGCGGTTCGAAGCGTATAATTAATTGCTAAAAATCTCGAAGTTAAATAATAATCAACAACAAAATTGAGACAAAAAGAAATTAATTAATCTAAACAACAACAATAGCAGCAACATCAACAACAACAATAACAAAAATAACGGATATGAATTATCTGAGAATGTTCGTAAACAACGTTAATTATATCGGTACAAACGCACAACCCATATTTTGGCCGAGGTAGCGCCGGGCTGGTTGACATCTGCTCCTGAAATAAATTATGATGATAAATTAAAATTAAAAGTGTCATAATTCGTTCTCATTTGAGTACCTTACGTAACAGCGCGCAGTTTAAGAGTGCATGCATGTTTAGGACTTCGCAATGATACCCCACAAGGAAATGACTTGGTTTTCCGTCATTGTATGTACCTCTTGCTGCTCACCACACAATCGGCCTTGCTGTTAAGCGCTGCCCACCTGATGCCAGACATGTGCTGCGCGTTGCGCGATGCATCATCCGTAAATTTGTACGCACATAATTAGTCGCGCGTAACTGTCATAATTATCCGCTGCCAGTTGTTCGCTGGTGGCATCTGCGTCACGCACGCAGTCACCGGTGCGCTCGCAAGTGCACTTACCTGCGATCGAAAGGTAATCAGCACCGGCGTCATGATGCTCCGTGACTGCCACCTGAGTCGGAACACGAATTCCGTCGGCCTCTTGACCTTTGGCCTCCTCGTCGCCATTGATGGTGGACGAAGCCATCGGCGCTGTCGATGACTCATGCGTCTCGCCTCTGTAGTAGAAGAGCGTATTGAGAAAGTCCCAGAAGCCCGCCTCGTCGTCGCTCGCGTCGTTATTGTCGCCGTCGTCGTCGTCGCTGCCGGTAGCGTTAATCGACTGAGTCGGTAGCGTTACCCGCGAGGTGTCGCTGCTGTTAGCGGACGTCTCATTACTGGTGCTTGCCGCGTATGCGGACTCGTCGTTCTCAATGTCGCCGCTCAGGGAGCCACCGTCGGCAAAATCCGAGACCTTACCCACGTCGTCCGGGGCGTTATCGAAGCCAAACATGGCGTCGATTAATTTGTCCCAGTCTTCATCCGTAAGGTCGTCATCATCGTTCGATAAATCCGGCCTCGTTTCTCCCGGTCGTATCTGTGTCTCTAGCTCATTTGTCGTACTTCCTTTCGCGTGTGAGCCGAGCGTCGTGACGCTATCTTCATACGTGGAATCGTCGTTAGGCGTAATTACTTCTGCGGGTATGGTCGCTGTGTCGAAACTGGCTTGATTTCGACCGAGCAGCTGACCGATGTCACCTGCCGCCCAAGCCTCTTGTGCGTTATCTCCACTGATTGACGGCGCTGCCGCATTTGATTTCGAGGAGACAATCTCGCTTTCGTAAATCGGTTCGAATGACGTGCGCGTATCGGTACTCGATTCCCAGCTCTCTGTCGCATCCCCTACTTGAAGCACGCTGGCCGTCTCAGTTGGTAGCGTTTGTTTGAAAGTACCATGTATCCATTCAGGTTGATTATCGTCATACAGCTCATCATGCCACATGTCCTGCTTTATCTCGTTGCCAGCTTCCGCGTTTGGGTTGGCCTGCCACTGGTCACCTAAACGATGAAATATCCGCGTGTGTTTTTTACTTAGTTTTACTTACCGCTTTCTTACATTCGTCACCGATTAAATTCGACTTTCGATATCTTCCCCACTATTCGAACCCCCATTTTATACGTGTATATGTTATGATTTGTGCTAGAATGTTTTCTACGTGACGTTACTGATTCATTTCGTTTCGCTTATCCTTGACCACCATCCTTCCATGATTGTAATATTGCGCGCTCGTACACATACGTACCCCATTCTACATTATCTTGCGCAGAGCCATAAGGCAGAGCATCACCGCCGTCTCTTCGCTGAATTCCTGGCGATCTAATTGTGCGCGTTACGGCGTAAGGAACTCCCACAAAGAGGAATATGTCTAGCAGAAACCAGCTATATGATTTCGTCATCTTACTGCTTCGTCAGCGAAAGGAGCGGCTGGTCATCTGTATAGTGATTAAATGTACTTAGGGAATGATTACGAATATTCTTGCGCCATGCGAATTAATGAAGGTCGTTTTTTTCAATAGAAAGCAGGTATATGTGACGCAAGAGGCAATAAAGTTCCGACTATACAACGACATGCTATTCATCATGGATATTTGACACGTATAGGCATGTAATCAATAATGGCGCATACAACGGTTGCTGCATTTATTCGCAGATTATAATAAATGGAATTATGATCGTTATTGCTAACATGCAGAAATAACGTACGAGAACTTACTGACGCTGTCAAAGACAGAAACGCTGAAACTCCTCAACGCTATATAGACAAAGCTCTGCCCGTAGGAATATGACGTGTCACCTGTAATGTACGCTGCTGCGTCTACACAGGCGTGTAATCATCTAGATGCCCGTGCATCAGGTTTTGGACGGATATTTAGTGTATGGAAACAGACGGCTCTGTTATGCAGAGGACATGTAGCGCCGAGCACCTGTTACCACTGCGGCGGAAAATTTACATGCACGTATAATACGACGCATGTGACGAGACCGAGAGAGAACAAGAAAACGAAAGAGAGGGAGAGAGAGAGAGAGAGAGAGAGAGAGAGAGAGAGAGAGAGAAAGAAGGAGAGCGATGGGGAAGAGTGAGTAAGCGGGGAAGAGAGAGAGAGAGAGAGAGAGAGAGAGAGAGAGAGAGAGAGAGAGAGAGAGAGAGAGAGAGACGTTTACAGTGGGTGTGTAACAAAGGAGGCGTGGTGAATTGTTTATCTTGCATTATTGCGACATTACGCAAATTAAAACTAAGAAGAAGAAAAAGAAGAAGGCGAGGGAAACGAAGACGAAGA